TTTTTTTTTTTTTTTTTTTTTGTGCCTGGGTTTACGGTTCCGTTTCTACAGTCTTTACATGAAATAAAAGGCAATATTGCTCTTAGTCCTTCCCTTCCAAAATTTTTCACTCTTCATTTTTATATTCTTCTATTTGTAAGAATTAGAATATAAATTTAAAGAGAAGGAAGATAGATTATCACTCCTAGTTACATACAGATTTTATCAGGTCATTATTGACCCATGAAAGTTTTTAGCACTAAAATAAATATGCATTAGAATGTTTGAGATAATCTTAAGCTTGGATTTGCTTCCTTTTTTCCAGAAGAACCAAGAAACTGATTGTTTTGCTTATATTCATGACTGGGGTATGGAGTTGTCATGCATGAAATTACTCCTTGAATTTGAATTACAGTTTTTCCTCAATTTTTTTAGCACCTTCTTATTTTTTAACAAGGAGTATTCTCCTTCACTACTGACTACCTGTTTGCCAATGTGAGAAAAATTAAAGACACTACAAAGTGAACTTCTGTCCTATAGAAAAATATATTGCTCTACCAATCACAGAAAAATTCATTCAAGAAAAAATTCTCCTTGTGACCATCTACTTAAAAAAATCTACTTACTCTCATTCTCTATTTGTTGGAAATGAAAAATCCTAGAAAACGTTTTCTCCAGTGGACTACCTGGTCAGAAATTTGAAAGGGGTTTTAGAGAAATGATTATTCCTGTCTTTGAGAGCTTGCTACATTAGAAATATAAAAATTAGAGCAGTTTTCATTTTAAAGAGCCTTAAGTCTTATCTCTGCTAAAGTGCTTGGCAATGGCTATTGTTATTACATTCTTAAGTGTCTAGCAGTGGATCACTACTTGGAGTCAGTGACACCCTGAAAAATATCCAGGCAAAGAGGACAAATGTAGGGTGCTGCAATCACACTAATAAGTTCACTGGCATCTGTTTTATATGATGTTCTAATATTGCTCCAAGTCTCTTCAATATTTGCCTGTGGAGTTATTACCTAATATAAACTGCTTAGATCTAACAAGCTGACTTCAAGTTGAGTGAAGGTGTTGATAATTGCAAGAGAGGAAATAAATGTTTAATTAATTTTATCCTGTACTTATTTTGGGAAAAACACTTAAAGTATAAAAGGTTTTGTGACTCAATCTCTTGAATTTTTTTCAAATCTAGTACAGTCACTTTAGAAAATCAATATTACTTTTATTCTCCAATTTTCTGAAAGCACACAACTAAATTACCTTCATCACTTGGGAAATTTCTTTGACAAGATTTAGGTAACCATTTTATACTTACATCAGAGACCTAGAATTTTCCTATAGCTTCTGTAAGACTATTTTAAACATTTAGGATAAACCCAATTTTAAACATTTACATTTTGCAAGTTACCTGACAGAGACTTGGAGACACTAAACCAAAAAGAAAGGTTGTGAAGAACATAATTAGCGCCATGTTCTTAAAAACTGCTGCCCCAGGGGAAACTTTTACTCCCCTCTTCCCCACTCCCCCTACATTCTTGTGCATTCCTGTATAGATAAGGTGTAAAGGGCCAATCACCTTGGCCAAAAGCCAAGCTCACCATATATAGAAAACCATGTAAAGGTCAGCCAAACCAATCACTAGCTACCCCTTTGTCCCGAGGCCTGAGGCACCAAAAAAGGACTATATAATCTGCTCTTCCCTTTGTTCTGGGCCCTTCCTACCACTCAGGTGCCCTTGGTGTGCGGTTAGGTCCAAGCTCGAGCTTGCAATAAAGTTTCCTCTTGTCTTTACAGCGGTGTGGCTGGCTTCTTCTGGGTAGTGCATGCCATTCTGTCATTAACAGGTTGATTTAGTGGACTAACATATTGAGAAACAGACATGTCATCAGGTCAGAGTATGCCAGTCAGTTATTCCAGCCCTTACAGTCTCAGTCTCAGTCTTACAGTGTCTGGAAACTTTCTAAGGTGTTCTAACAGATGAATCAAGACTACCTTATCTAACTATAGCAGCTTTGAGCTTTTGAACGTATTGCCTGGATTGACTTTTACAATCACAAAACACCCCATGCAAAAACTGTCATTCATATCCAGTCAAACAATTTTTGTGTACAAAAATGGAAGGTGCTCTTACCTTCTTTGACTGTCATTTCATCAACATTTTTTTCTTGAAGAGAAAGATCTGTAATAGCCTTATGGACAATATAGAGATTCTCTTCTGGATTTTCTGAAAGAAAGATTAATATTTTAATGTTTAAATCACTCAAAGGTAAATAAACTAAGTTTAGACTATAAGCAAAGATTTCTTTGATTTTTAATTGTCATCACTAAAAATAATTATTTCACTCTTCCAACTCAGGTCTATATTGGTTCCTTTTACTTATAAACCTATTGATTGACCCACGGGGAATACCACTGAGATGGAAAAAGTCACAAAATGATGTAAAAATAAACTAGTATATTATTAAAAATATAAACCTATTGATTGATATCTATATAAGTTCTGGGACCATGGATTTGGAAAGTTTCAGGTATATTTAGAAACAAAGTATGAATTCTTAATCCCTTTGCTCAAATAATAATGAGGATGCCCTTAATAATAATATATAACCACAGTTAGCATTTTAATGAACACTTCGTAATCCTCACAACACCCTTACAAATGTTGGTATTATTATTTTACCTTTTTTTAAATAAGAAAATACGGCTTTAAAAAGCTAGGGACATCATCTAGAATCACAGAACATTTAAATAAATTAATTAATAAATCTGGATTTGGTGCTAGACTGTTGTTTCTTCCTTAAGCTAAGCAAACTGGGTAGAATAAGGACCACACTGTGTAGGGGCAGAGGTGAAGTATGAATATGTACCACTGTCATAACAAGTTGTCAAAAAGTCCTGTGTCAGTTTACAAATCAAATCAAGGAGACTCAAATCAAGGAGACTGAAGAGAAATAAATTGGTTTACCTTTTAGAGCCTCCTCATCTGTGGAATAGTTGAGTAGTATATTCCCTTGTAATGTTTCACTTTGCCCCTGGTTTCCTTCCGAGGGTAAATCTTCAAGACTAGGTTCCACTCTATAGTAGAGTGAGGTGCCATCCAGATCGCTGGTTTCCTCAGTGATTTTAGTGATTGATGGTTCATCACTTTCAGGTGGTGTGTCCCCATTACACTCAACCTGATGGAATGTCACTGGAACATCTGTCATGGCGTACGTAGAGTTGGAGAGAGCTGTGAGGATATTGAGTGAACAGAATCTTGCTCAGATATGTCCTCTAGCCTTTAAGTCCTATAGTTCTAGCTCCTACTTGAAGAATACAAAGTATTGACTTTAGTATATAATAACAAGCTTCTTTTCCCAAAGGTATTCACATAGAGCTTAGAATAAAAGCAATAGGATTTGTCAGTTTTGCTAGTAGCCCAGGAGCAAGATTCTGTCCAATAGCTACCTTCTTTGTAGCTTAGCAGCAGGCTCTCAGAATTAATGGCAGTCCTTTGATTTACATAAACAAACAATCTGAGGCAATCAGGCTTTTGTGTTGGGATGTAGAGGGGGACTTTCAGCTTGTCAGTCCCCCTCTGGGAACAGAGATTTTTGTCCCTTTTCATAATGGCCCTTTGTCATTTTCCTTGTAACAGGAGCCACAATTGTTCCACAGCTTTAATCCACAGAGAATGACCACCTTGAGGCATATTAGTTCTGCATAACCAGCTTAACATTTTCAAACAGATTTTGTTCAAGTAAAACCTCAGCTATTTTGTAGGGAACAATAGCATTGTGTCTTATTTATTAAAGAATAAAAACAGCTTATCAAAAACCTGTAAACAGGACAACTTTTCTGTAAGTGCTTCTGGCTGCAGATTCCATGGACTGCATTCAGGACCACCAGAAACAACGAACTAAGAAAAAAAAAAAGTTCTTCTATCTCAATAATATCAAAAAAAAAAAAAAATCGTGTAACTTCAGAGTAATAAACAAAAAAAAAAAAAAATCGTGTAACTTCAGAGTAATCCATTTAATCTATAGCTTCTCACCCTCTAATTGATGTCAATGAAAACCCAGATGATCCTTTAAAACCCTAATATAACTTCATCCATGAAGCTTTTCTTACCCAATAGGAATTATTCTCCATATCCCCTGCTAATATTGTATGATACTGTAAGATTAAGTAGCACCAGCACTGCCTGCTCTGGAGGAAACATATAGTCAGGTATTCTTGCAAAACATCTGAAACCTACCACAACTTTCTTGTTAAAGGAAGACATTCATTCTTTCCTTATGTTTCTCAAATAGGGTGAAATGGATGTAACCTTTGTATTTGCTGCTTCCTCTGCCTGCAAAGTCCTTCTCTTCCTCAATGCCCTTCTCTTCCTCATTGTCATACTCTTAGTCTAACCAGTTCCTCTTAAATTCTCAGCTCTTAGGATGAAGTTCTATTACTTTAATGACACATTCCCAGACCTTCAGGATTAGGACACATTATCTGTTACACATCATCTTTGTCCTTCAGAGGAGGAGGGCTCCTTGTAGTTGTACTTGAATTTTAACGTGGTGGTCCCTAGGAAAAGGGGAGTTCAGGTTCCCTGCCCCACCAAGAAGGAGGGTGGAGTGAGCAGAGAAAAAGGAGAGAAGAGAAGGAATCAGAAGAGAAGAAAAAAAGAAGGAAGCAGGATGGAGAATAAGAAGGATTTGAGGAAGCCACATGGAGCAGCAAGCATGGGATGAAGAAACCGTGTTTGTTTCCTGACCCTGACTGGCTAAGGCAGATGCGGGTGAGATACCTGTAGGGAGGTGACTATGGCAGAGTTTATATTGATTTTGATTTTGCTCTTTTCTTCCCAGATTTGTCTGGCCATTTCTGACCTTTTTCCATGGGTCCAGGCCAGAAAGTGCTTTAGTGTTATGGCAGGCTTACAGGCCTTGCGCCCTTTTGGGTTGACTTTTGCCCATGAGGGAATGGGTAACTTCAAGTGTTTGATTTAGAAGTTATATTCTTTGTGTTCCGTATTGTATATCTACTGTATTAAAGTCCCTTTTCATAAAAGTTTTGTATGTTTTGTCTTGACGTGGAGGATGGCAGAGCCCACTTAGAGCAGGCAGGTTTGGGGCTTCAGGGGTGTCCCTCTCCCTGTTCTGTCACACATTGAGTTAGTGCATAATTGCCTATGTAATGTCTCTTTCACCAATAAGAAGCTGGCTGATCTGGAAAGGGACCATGTTTAACTTGCTTACAAGTGTCCCCAGCATGTCACATCTGCCTTGAATTAAGTAGGTACACAATTTAACATTTTTTTTCTGTTAATCAATGGTAAATTGATAAAATTAAAATTATATCAAATTAACCCATAAATTTTACTCCAGAGAAAACACATTTCAGTTCTTTTTTTAAGGGAAGAATTAGACAAGTTGAAGAGTAATTGCTATTTTATCACCTTTAAAATTATGTCTAGAGCTGAGTCCCTTAGATAGCACATATCAGAGAGGACAAGTACATGGCATCCTGGTCTCATTTCCTTCATGCTGCACTTGAGAGATTTTTCTAAGGATCCTAGAGGACACTCAACTACTCTCCCCGTTGGTGACAAAACACACTAATTGTTTGTAAAAGGGGAAAATTTATTTTCCCTCCATCCTTGTGAGTTCTTGCTGAGACCCCTATATTGATAGACAGATTAGCCAGGTAAAAAGGAAAAGGACTTTATTCACATGTATACCTCTCATGGATCCATGGGAGACTCAGAGTAACCAGCAGCTGAAGCCAATGACTGTTACAGGTGGGCCCCCACAGCCCCACTTCCAAGTGATAAGCATAGATAGCTCCAGGGTAAGTGCAAACAAGGTATTGGTGGGGGTGGAGACTCTGAAATATAATGGACCGCTCAAGCAACCCACAAGATTTAGTGTTGGGAATTCAGTGTTCAGAATTCAGTATTTAGGATTTCAACATTTTGGTATCTCCAGTAATTTCAAGGTCAGCCTTTTCTATCCCCACCAAGATTTTGTAAATCTTCCAGAAGGCTGTTTCAGACCTCTGAAGGAGGTGGAAAGGCTTCCAGGAGCCAATCTCAGAGAAGAAAAGTTCAACGGTTTAGCAAATAACCAAGCAACTGAAACTCTTTATAGCATTGCTGCTATTACAGCCGGAAGGGCACCTTACTGATGTGCGTGAGTATGGGCCATTTGTGGGGTCATTGGCTGTTGTAGCTGTTGTTTTCAGTGTTAATTCTCTGCTGCTGTTCTGGCACATCTTGGAAGCTCTGGTGAGCATCTCCTGTAATGTGTTCTGCTACTTTTGTGAGTTGAATCCTAGCCTATCATCTGGCTGCCATGAATTCCAGTCCCTCAGTGGTGGGAAGAAGCCATCTTGGGTGACTCTGCATAGGACACTGCTTTTGGTGAGGTAAGTGGCTATTTTTGGGTCTTGTTATATAGGGCAGGGAGAGAGGGGTACCCCTGAACCACCAAACCTGCCTGCTCTAAATTGGTTCTGCCATCCGCGGCATCAAGACAAAACATATAAGACTTTATTGAAAAGGGACTTTAATACAGTGAGCGTACAATACAGAAGACAAAGAATATAATTTCTAAGTCAAACACCTGAAGTTACCCATCCCCTCATGGGCGAAAGTCAACCCAAAAGGGATTGGCCCAAAGCAAGGCCTGAAAGTCCACAACACGACTAAAGCACCTTCTGGCTGGGACCCATAGAAAAGGGTCAGAAATGGCCAAACAAGTCTGGTAGGAAAAGAACAAAATCAATATAAACACTGCCATAGTCAGCCTCCCCATGGGTCTCTCACCCACATCTCTTTTAACCAGTCCAGGGCCAAGAAATGAACACGGTTTCTTCACATGTTTGCTGCTCCATGTGGCTTCCTCAGGTCTCCTGGCTCACCTTCATGTTCTTCCTTCCTCCTCAGATTCCTTCTCCTCTTTTCCCTGCTCAGCTCCACCCTCCTTCTGGGTGGGGCAGGGAACCTGGAACTTCCCCTATTCCTGGGGACCAACCCTGTTACAGCTTCAGTAAATCACTTTTTCCCCTGGTTTGTTAAATAAATCTCTTTATTCTTGTTCTCTGAACCTGAGTAGTCTTATAATTGTGCACTCAGGTGAAGAACTCTGTGACTGGTAAACTATTTGGGAACTGTCCTTGGCCAGTTTTAGTGCCCCTTGCTGCTCTGTATCAGGAGGAACTGATTAACTCCCTGATATGACCAAAGTCACATCCTTCAGTATCATCTTCAGCTAACTACAAAAGTAAGATATATATTGGTGGTGGGAGATTAGTTATGAAGTTTTATCAATATGGGGCTTTCTCCATCAAGAAAAGCTTCTGGTGACTTAGACATTCTCTTCCTGGTACAGACACACATACACACTTCAGAGATTTGGTTTTAACAAATTCCTACATATGTCATAGTAGTGTTAGTTATAGCTATCATATTGTACATTACATTCCCAACAATTATTATCTTATAACTGGTAATTTATATCTTTTGACCACTTTTCTATAATGCTCCCTCCTCCTTACTATACTCGGATAACCAACCACAGGTCTGATGTTTTCTTTAATGAGTTTTTTTTTTCCTTTTTCACTTAGCATTTTGCCATAAAAATCCTTCCATATGGCCCTCCCTGGTGGCGCAGCGGGTTAAAGCACAGCACTGAGAATCTGAAGCCACTTCCGCATGAGTTCGATTCCCGCCTGCCCCGGAGGTGACCACATGGCGAGGCAGACCTCTCCTGACCCGCCCGCTGCTCCCCTCAGCAGTGTACTTCGTCGATCTGCCTGTTCTGCTCCCCACTCTGTCTCTGGTGAAGCCTCTCACCGCCCCTGAGCCTCTGGCCTGTACCCCAGTTCTGTATGAATAAATAAATAAATCTTTAAAAAAAAAAATCCTTCCATATGTTGAAAATGGAAAGATTTTCTCCTTTAATAGTTAATATTATAACTAAACAATATTGTATATATTTGCTATAATTCTTTGTTCATTTGTTAATCAATAGGCATTTAGATTGTTATTAGCTATTTTCTATGGTAAATCATATTTCATGGATATGAAATCTCTACTCCTATGACTAAAGAGCTTCTCCTTAAATTTATTCATAATATTTTTTTGATGTTTTGTGAGTAGGATTGATTTCTTTTTTCAGATAATTTGTTGACACTGGTAATCCCCACTGCATGAAACAGGGCATTTTTAAAGATAATTTATTAGAATAGTTGTCTGCTTTCCTAGCTATTATTCTTAATGGCATAGGGTATATAAATATAACCAT